GCTTTCGGTTTACCCTTTTGATTGGGCTAAGCCTGGGGTTCACCCCCTAACCACACGGGGTTTACCACCCAAATGGGCTCCCCCCACGTTTCGAGGCAAAGGGGTAAACCCAGCCATAGATTTAATAATGAATTTGACAATTTTTTGGCGGGCGTGGAAATGGGATTTCTGGCCTCTACTTGGGGTTTACCCCCCTGGCCTGGCCTTGGCAGATTACTGGAGTCATCTACTTGGGGTTTACCCCCTTGGTCTTTGATTGTAAGGAGAGAGATGGCACATGTTTGTAGTTCCTAGTTTAGGAACTAAACCCTAAAAGGCGGAGCGAATGCCGGGTGGGAGCCGCCCACAAGCGGCGCGGGTGGGAAAAATAAAGGATGCGGAAGACATCCCCCGGAAACTAGTGCCACGGTGCTTGTGCCCAAGCGGCGACGAAGACATACGACGAAACGACCCTCCGGCCGCGCCCTCGGTACAAACCCTATAAACCCTAAACTAGGGGGGCCTGCCTCGGGCGGCGGCTCGCTAGAGCCGCTCGCCCCAGCAGAGCCCCATGCTGACCGCCCTTGGGAACATCTCACATGAGTAGTACTTGTCACGTAACAAGTACTATACCACTATGTTGTATGCGTCTGCCACGACCTTCAGCAATAACATGCCCGTTCGTAATGGTTCGCTGGGCCTACCCCCCGCCTTAAGAGAGAAAGAATAAAGAAGAGAGATGTGAAGATGTGAGTGAAGAGAGAAGATGTGAGATATGAGAAGATGTAAGAGAAGATGTGAGATATGAGAAGATGTGAGAGAAGATGTGAGTATAAGAAGATGTGCGAAGATGTGAGATGTAAGAAGATGTAAGAGAAAATAAGAAGATGTCAGATTTGAAGCTCTTTTATATGTAAATCTATATATTTACTACAAAAATTAAGAAATCAAAAATATTAATATTGTTGTAGGTAAGATGAAATTGAAGCTACATTTATTTCTTACGCTTTTTAGCAACAAAAAACAAAAAGCAAAGACATGCAAAATTTTATATTGGGGCTCGATACAATAAAGCCTATATATACAAGGCCTTTATTAACCCCCATCCATTGTTACTACTGGTCATAGGATAGGCTTGGGTCCCATGCTCTTGTGCAATTATCCAATTCCCTTAGACATTTATAGAGTATATCCTTTTTCTTCTAGCTAAGGCCCTTCTCACGTTAAAAAAGGTCGCCCCCAACATTATCCTTAGACTATGGTAACGATTCCAAGAAGACTATTGCAATTAACCTTTCCAATCAAATTACATATTTCTAAAAGCTAAGTCAAGCACCGTAACTATAATCAATAATTTCAATTCAGCTATTAATACTACTTTTCTTTCGTATCATTCTACAAACAATACAATAATCGTCCAATTTCCTATCCTCTACCTAAACTTACCCACCTGGTCAGTTCACCTCAATAAATCACTTTATATAATAATATACTAGACTTTATAACACTAATAATGTACTACTCAGCGTCATTTGCATCACTCGCATCACCCAACCGGATTCCCCCAATTGCTCGTTCGCCCATCGAAAATTCAACCAAGCCTATCGATTGGCTTTTGTAAAAAAACATATTTGATAATTTAACTTGTATAGTATAGTACATTATAGTACTTTACTTTTCAACCAAAAAACTCAAAACAACGTAATTAATCTAAAGGGTTAATGGAGAAAATAAGCAAAGAAGCTTTGAAAAAAAGACAGACGACTAAGTTAGAAGAATACATTTGGGAAAAGGCGAGGGTAAGAATAGAAGCATCTTAGATCAACAAATCCATCAACAACAAGCACCATGTAAACCAACACAACCGATGCAGTGCAAAAACATTTAAAACATAATGCCGCTCAAACAGCAACTCCTTTGGCACGAGAAAATCATAATTCAAAATGCTGCTTTGGCTCTCTGCTGTCTGGTTCCTTTTCGGCACATATTTTTACAAGGCATTGCCAGAAAGCTTAGCAGTAGAGACAAGAAGTCAACGAAGGAAATTTAACATGAATACTAGACCGAGTGAAATGAACCGTGGTGAAGCTCCAACATGAATGTTCCATAGCAAGAATGACATTTGAAAAATTACTAAGTAAAATAATAAACTGTTGCCGGAACCTTCAAAACTTGCACTAAGGAGTTCGTGTGTTTACAGTGTTGGAGGTGGAGGCCGTGCTATTGATTTGAAGTTTGTTAACGCAAACCAAGGTACTGCAAAATGATGGGGGGTGGAGCAAGGCAAAAACAACTTCAAAAAGGACACAACATTCCGAGAATGGGCTCGGCAACATTAAGAGAGTCGATTGCGAAAACGATAAGCACAGCACAGATAAGAGCCCGTCGATGTCATTCAAAAAGCAACGCTATTCTACTACAAGCGCTGCACTCCATTCTGCTCAAACTGCTTGCAGAAATCGAGTGGACTTACTGTAGGTAGTGCATGCGTTTCGCCAACAACAATCAAAATGGTGCATTCTTGTATATAGCGATCAAACAAAGGCACTGGACCTCGTTAGGCATCCACCAGGCAGAAGTCTGCTTGCAGCCAAAGGTGAATGACAATCAGCTCTATATAGCAAAAAACACAGAAGCGGAATGCGATAAACCACACAATTTTCAAGCAGTAGAAACGCCTATAACAAATACATTGACACCCACTTCTCGGTGTGTGTGTATGTGGCAATAGTCGCTCAAACATTTCCCTTCAAACGAATGCCACTATATAATGAACACTCACATACCATTTCATCAACTTCACTACCTGTCAAAACGGTCTGCTTCACAAGCAGTGTGAACGCATACCGCTGCAAGGCGAGCTTACCTCTTTGTGATTTCACCACTAACGAAATCACACCATTGCCACCAGCACGCCCCACTTCAACAGCAATATCCTCAAGTTTCTGCCTCTGCTTTGGAGAGGAGTTGAAAGCATACATTGGATAAACCCATAGTCTTTTTCCACACGTGAAGTTGGGGTTGACAGCATATGTGAGGAGGGCTTTGATGCTGTGAGGTATGAACAAAAGCACATACTTCCCTTCAAACCTATTTCCCTCCAGGCACCCCAATCACATTTTTTTTTGGATCGCTTACACTTTAAACTAGGCCCCTCAGTCGTCTGCAGGCTCTTAGTCACTAGCAGCGCTCTCAGCGAAGAGAAGCCCATACGCATCAAGGTTGACCAAGCAAAGAAGTGCGATTGCACCTCCCAGCACGAATGGGCGGGATTGGCAAGCGGGATGCTGAATGTCGCACCCTGACAAAAACAAAAATCTATGTACACGCGCTGCAACTGGAACAGCTGCCTGTAAGCGCGCCGAGCGCAGGGACACTCTCATTTACGTTTCCAAAGGCCGTCACCAGGTGCTGTGATTCTCGATTCTCCATCATTCTCCCTGCGCACGGCTTCCCTCAGTGACCAGAATTGCAATATGTGACAATGGCAGAGCACGGCTGTGCCAAAAGCACAAAAATCCAAGCTGCCTGATTTTGGCCGAATTGAATTCCTATCTTTGTGCAGGTTTTGCATCTTAGCGTGTGCTTAAGCATCACGCGCTGCTTTCAAGTTCAGTGCAGCAAAGGGGACAAGTCTTCCTGTAGTTGGACAGCCAAGTGCAAATGCATTCCTTATGGAAGTCATGGCAGCATGGCAAAGCAGCTACGTCGTCAGTCTGCAAGTAGCGCGTCAAACAAATTGGGCATTCTTTGCCCAGAAATTCCTCGCAAGAGACGACATGTAGAGCTTCGTTGGTCTCCTTCTCTGTGGCTTGCTTCTTCGGGATCGCCTCATCAAGCCGCAGCAGCATCTCGTAGTCCTGATGAGGAACAGCCGCTTGAAATGAAATGCCATTGAGTGATATGTATCATCCGTTATCTTTGAGATTAATTTCAGTCGCACTTTGCCTGACAGCCCTTCTTGGACATCTGACCACATCCCTCTTGTATGCTCCTCTGGGGTAATCTCACGGGAGAGCAAACTGTAGACTTCTCGATGAGTCAGACCGCATGGAAGCGACGCTTCGCCCCTGCAAGGTCAGACTTGGCGTGTTACATCGCTCTTAAAGGTCATGTTGAGTCAACAAAAAATTGGAAGAACGTATGCATGCACTCTATTTCACTTGTAGAAATCAAAGCGTCAAACGGTGCTAAACCTTCTACAGTACACTCCACCAACGCGTGGTCCGCGTTCCTGCCCTTTGACATGACTGCAATGCCGCACAATTTCCGATCAAACCCTGACCGGCTCACGAACTACCAAAGATCTCTCCTCTGCCCAATGCAACACCAGCACCTGCGACGGTAAGATCTATGCCAATTCCGGCTTCTGCTGCGGCTCCGATCTCGGCGAGGGTGGTGGCTATGCTGGCGCACGCGCCGCCAGCGCCACACACGGCTGTGCTCACAGGACCTCGGGTATTATGGCGATGCCTCTCACTGCTCACCAGACACAAACACTGCACGGCAGGCCTGTAGGTACCTGTTTGTGAGACAATCAATGGAGAGAAACAGAGGTGGACGGCAAATAGATCCCCCAAAAAGTGGGATTCTCCAAATTGTTTGAATATGTCAACGAGACAAGGAAACTCACACCTACTTCCAGGGATGAAGGCAAAAAGATGCACACTTCATCTGGCAGGCAGGGAAACGAAATTGATGACGTCCGCCAGGCTTCATCTTGCTTGACCGGGAGATTCAGAATTTCCTGTATATATATATGTATATATTATAGATGTGAATGAGCTGGAGTGAGGCCAACTGCCTGCAAGTGGCAAGGGAGCCCCTTCCTTTGCACGATTGCGCGCACACATACACCGAACAAAGTTAGTCAATATATATATATATAGATAGTATATAAACAAATAAATTACACCAGCATAGACCCAGATAGCTAGGCAGAATCCCACGACCTGTTGACATGCGACTGGCTGGAACAAGAATGTACGCAGCCTGCGCAGCCAGCTTACGACACCTCGCGCAATCAGCTGACACCAGCACCCGACCAGCGCCGCCGCCCGTCTTAAACGCGCGCTCAGCCACAGCACCAGCACCCAGGAACACAACACCAGCACCAGCACCGACACCCTTTTGAAAGCGCGCGCAGCCAGCTCATTCTTATTTGCAACAACAACCCCATAGCTATCCCTACTTGGGGAATAACAACGTATGATCTTGCGCGTATAAGTTCATGCGCATAAAAGTACGGGCGCAAACAGCAAGGCCCGTAAGTGTCATTGGCCCAAGGCCAGGCAGTATCCAGCGCCACTATTGACTTTGTAGCATGCTTGAAGCAACGACCTGCAGAACGATAAGGCCGTATGATCTTGCGCGTATAAGTTTATGCGCACAGAAGTATGCGCACAACCGGCAAAGCCCGTAGGCTTCACTCGCCCAAGGCCAAGCAGTATCCAGCACGACTGACGTGTGTGTAGCATGCTGAAACATGCTGGTACAATGGTCGGTTGAGAGCCTGACGCATCGAACATTATACGTACAAAAGTATGCGCGCAAACAGTACAGCCCTTGACACAGCTGTCGGCCAAAACAGAACCTGAAGGGTGTAAACACCCCACAGCGCTAATAGACAAAGAACGCTCAAGCGACAACACCATATGATGTTTCGTGCATAAGTTCATGCGGCCCATGACTGCTTGCACTTCATTATCCTTAAGCGGCGCTTGGTCGCCCTTCACTGCTGCAAGCGGCGGTTTGTTACCCTTCACTTCACTGTCAGAAGCGGCGGTTGTTATCACTTCACTGTCAGAAGCGGGCACCAGCACCGAGCACCGGCGCGCCAGCTTACGGCGCCCAGCACCAGCACCCAGCACCGGTGTAGCAAAGCACAGCACCGGCGCCCGGTCACCACCACGCACACTGCCGGCTCACAGCACCGGCGCTGGCGCCCTACCATGCGCACTGCCAGCACCCAGCACCGGCACCGTGTCTCCACCACGCGCGCAGCCAGCTCACCCAGCACCACAGCCCGCACCAGCACCCGGCACCGGCACCCAGCACCGGCACCCTGTTTCCACCGCCCACCAGCACCGGCAACCTGTCTCGAAAGCGCGCGCAGGCAGCTCATTGTTATTTGAAGTAAGAATCCCATAGCCTCGCTATCTGGGCAAAAAGGGTCCCCACATATATGCAAGCTACACCACCAGCACCAGCGCCGGCACCCAGCACCAGCACCAGCAGCACCGGCACCCGGCACCAGCACCAGCAGCACCGGCACCCGGCACCAGCACCAGCAACCGGTCTCCACCCCGTGCGCAGCACCAGCACCAGCACGGCACCAGCGCCGGCACCCGGCAACAGCACCAGCAACCTGTCTCCACCACGTGCAGCCAACTCACAGCACCAACACCGGCACCTGGCACCCAGCACCAGCGCCGGCGCCCGGCACCAGCGCCATGAACCGGTCTCCACCACGTGCACAGCCAACTCACAGCACCAGCACCAGCACCACCACCAGCAACCTGTCTCCACCACGTGCACAGCCAGCTCACAGCACCAGCACCAGCACCGACACCCAGCACCAGCAACCTGTCTCGAAAGCGCGCACGGGCAACTCACTATTATCTGAAGTAAGAACCCCATAGCTTCGCTATCTGGGGAATAAATAAATAAATATATGGGAGTTGATCTAAATTCCTTTATTCGGGATCCGTCATTTTCGCAAAAAGAATTTACTTTCGCCAAACTTTCGCCTTCCTGCGTTTTATCTTTCGCCGAAGTACGTTGTATTTATGTGCGCCATGTATGTTGTGTTTTGTTCACGTCAATGGCTTCTTCTTTACTGGCAAACACAAAATAGAAACTTCACTGTTTGTCAGCATGTATCTTCTACTTAACTGTTGACACCCTGTACGTCTCTTTTGTTTCTCCTGGGTGTCAGCAAGAATCAAAATTGCAAGAATCACCGTAGTAGCCGGTCACTCAAACTTACTCATAATGGGCTGGGGGTCAGATGTGGCAGGGTGAACTTTCGCCAACTCGAGAAAAAACTTTCGCCAAATGAGATTTTGATATGTTCCGGGTCATCGTCATACACACTGCTGACTAGGACCTTTAGATCGACAACCATATATATACACATGCGAAAGCGGTCCTTTTCTTGAACCTTGATGCGACCTGCGGTGTGCGTAGGTCAAACTTGAGTATGCTTTGAACATCTACGCACTCCTCCTTTGGTGGCGGAGTTAATGCTGCCTGTCTCCTTTTTCGCACGATTGCATTCAATCTGTGATGAAAGTCACCACTTTTTGCAGTTCTTCGTAGAGTTTTCGCAGCTTCACTCTGTCACCAACTCTGTTGTAGAACTCGATACTGCCTTCGAGTTTCAACAACTCTTCTCTTGCCTGCAATGAAGCTCTGGATTTGCATGGGTCCTTCTTCTCATCAACATCTATTGGTTCATCCGTTGCTTCTCCTTCTCCAGTCGCTCTCACTGCTGCTGTGTCTGTCATATCCGCGTCGCGATCTGGTGATCTGGACTTTCTGGTCCTTCAACTTCTACTTCTGGTTCACCTGGCCGTTCAAACGGTGGAGGAGCTGTGAGCAACCTCTCATCCACTGTCCTTGGCACCAGTTCTGCACTCAAATATTCCACTGGAATCTTAACTTCTCTCGGTTCGTCCAGTAGAACTGTGGCTGTCCTTCCACTCAAACTCTCTTCATTTTCTTCTTCTTCTTCTTCTTCTCTTGAGCTTGATGCTCCTGTGCCATTTCCTCGTCTCCTCCTCTCTTCTGCGCGATCAACTCGTCGTCTTCTCACATTTGCTTTATGTATCATGAGTCTTTCTGCCATCTTCTCTTGTCCGCACTTCTGGTTGCCCTTCTCAAGAACTTCATGCATCTCTCTTCTTCTGAAGTCAACTCTTCGTGTTCTTCATAGCCGTTCTGCTTTACTATGGCACTGTGAAGGCGTTGGCAATAGTCATCTCCCATCGAATCAAATTGCCTTGATTGACCACATAGGACTTGAACTCGAGTCTGGCTTCCTCAATTTCGTCCTTTGCTGACTTCAACCCCAAGATCTGAAATCTCAAAGCAGGCTCATTTTCTTCCACTCTCCTCTCAAGCTTCTTGAATTGCTTCCACATCAGGAATACACCAAATAGAACCGCTGCTCACCCAGAACCATGTCTTGACAAGTTCTCCTCCTGCAATGTCACTTCAGTTCTTTCCGCTTGTGCCGCTGACCCAAGGCCCCTTGCGTACATAATCTTCTCAAGTGCTTTGGCTAATCTTTGGATCTTGCCACGTTGCATCTCTCTCTCTCTTGTAAAATTCAGCAGCTGTTTGTTTGTCGTTTGTTTGCGCACGTCTCTGTATTGTTTTCCTCTGGCAACTGTCCTTAGGCTCAACTAGGCTAGGCTCAAGGCCTTTGATCCAAGGTGCATTGTATAGCGCCAGGCAATTGTACATGAACAGTACGATGGAGTAAGTATGTTATTGCAAAAGAGCTTGTATCTTGACACCGTCCCTTGGTTTGATTCATTGTTGAGTCACACCATCTCTACAAACATTGCTGAAACAGTAAAGGAACATTATTGTACATAAACAGTTCAGGCATTGTAGGCAAGTCTGTACATGTTCTTCTTCTGCGCTTGTCTCTCCAGTATTGCCCTTCTCATCGTAGTGCGCGTGTGGCATTGTCATAGCTGGAGATCAGCAGCTTGTCGGAACTTTGTTCTGGCCCTGCGTATCCTCCATATTGTCTTCTGGAGATTGTCTGGGACGCTTTGTCCCTTTCTCCTCTTCTTCATCTTCTGACCTTTCCATGTTGTTCTCATTGTATAGGACTGCTCGGTCCTCCCACAAGGAGATTGTCGAGTTTGTGGGAAGTCGACGCTGATTGTGGTAGTCTGGAATCGTCATCTCCATGGCCATTGTTGCCCTTGAAATTGTCCTCGAAATAGTCGACCCCGATTGTCAGCGCTCGTGAGCTGGGAAGCGGCTGCGGTCAAAAAGATTGTCGACAAGTTGTCAACTGAACATGCATTGTCTTTCAAATTCAGAAAGCAAAACTTCAAACACATTGTCCATCGAATTGTACTCCGAAACGACGAAGAGAAAGTCGGGCCCATTGTGAGACTAAAGATCTTGTAGTACATATTGTCTGTGACATAGTATGCACATAGTAGCTAAAGTAGTGTGCCATGGCTTGATGCCCCCGTGTGTGTATTGTACACGCATAGATGCTGCCATGGTTGTGAAACTGTTTGTACGATTGTCGTTCAATTGTGGTGTTGTGGGCATTGAATGCCCGCCATGTAGAGGTGTTTGTTAAGCACCTCTGCCGGGACATACTTTGTCAGTGTGTCTGCTGGGTTGTCATGTGTGCTGATCTTGTGTATTGACAGTATCCCGCTTTGTACCAGTTGTTGTATGAAGAGGTACTTTAGGTCA